CTGCAGGGCCACAAAGTGCCAAGCTGTGACCTAGAACATCTTAAAAGTTGGAGAACAATACAAGGACATCATTTTGAGAGGGGTTGTACTAAGATGGGTCCCTACCACCACTTGTCAAAGCTGCCCAGATGGAGGGGAATATGAGCTGATGACCACACCCCTTCCACTCTTAGAGGGTGACCTTAGACAAGCCATTAGCTTTCAGCCTTATTTCCTCTATATTTCCTTGTAGAATACAAGGACAACAACACTGAGTTATCTTACAGAGCTGTTGTAGGAATTACTGAGATAATGGCTGCGTTCACACATAAAAATAAACCATGGTGGTTTCCACTGCAATATGGTCTGTTCTGCTGTCTGAACCTGCCTGTGGACTTACTACATGTTATGTTTGCTTTCTGTAGAACCACAGAGAGAAACAATGGTCTGCTGTACTATTTCTATGCTTCACTATGGTATATTCAGTCATCCGACCCTAGGAATGCAGTTCCTTGCAGCTACCATAGAGTTCGGTGGAAAGAGTGGCAAGTACAGGAACCACTCTAGCCATCCAGCTTCTGTATTGAGACCAATGAGGAAGGTGCAGGTGCAGACAGCCATTGGAGAGGGATGGTTTAACTTGGTGCCCTGCACAAAGCAAAGAGTTATTATTATTATTATTATTATTATAACATTTCTATGCCGCCCCTTGCCGAAACCTCGGGGCGGCTTACAACATGAGGCCTGATGGCCTTCAGGCCCCTTCCAACTCTATTATACTATGCTTCTATGTAGACAGGAACATTACACTCTGGGATTGAATTTCAGCTGTGGAGGCTGACATGATACCTGATCATCAGTGGGAGGAATGAGACAGGTGGGTGGAAATAATGTACATGTGGAACCTATGTGATTGACCAACAGCCTTTCCCAGGTAACAAAGCACACTGAAAAAAACGTGGAGAATAGTTTAGCATTGTGTGTGTAAGCATCCAGTTGAATTTAAGCCTAGGAGAAGGGTGGCAAGATCTTCCACCTTCAGTCCATGAAGGGCAGGAGCTAGGCTCTTCCTGTGGGTATTTCAGAGGAACAGGACAGCTTGGCTACCACCACCACGTCTCCAACATGCACTTCCAGTGGAACACTGTGTTATGAGCAAGGTTCCTGCCCTTCACTCTCCCAAAACAACAAAGCATTCTTTAGCAAAAGCTCTTTATACCCCAGTGCACTTCCAGTAAGCACAACCAACAAAGAATGAGTCTCTGACCATGCACAGAGTGGTTTGTTGAACCCAATCTAACACTCCTTCCAAGAACCCTCCTTTTGAGTAACCCTGGAGCTCCTCCCTCTGGGATGTCTTTTGGGGCGAAGGGCAAGCCTCTCTCCTGTCCCTCTAGTTGGTCAAACCATTTCACACAACATCCTATCATGGAGTCAAGAGCTGTGCTAGGCTCGACTGGGTGCAGGAGTTCTTCTCCCACGCCCCTCCCAGCAGTTGTAAATCCCAACTCTTCCCAAAGTCCACCTGGAAACAGTGCCCTTGAGATGAGCCCCTCCACTCCTTCCAGTTCAGTATCTGAGAATTCTGGTTCTCAGGGCCCCTTGTCAGCTGGTGAGTCCGTATCTGCCTGACCTTGGAACACATGCCAAGAATGACAGTCCCTTCCATTCTCCACACACTGCCAATGGAATGTGCCTCCCAGTGGAACTTCCTGCTGGCCAAAGGGGACACCTCTGGAAGCATGGGGGTCATCCCACCACAGGACCCTCTTCTGCACTGGTGCAGCATCACTTCCATTGCTTCCTACAGCCCTTTAGGCAGCCTCTCAGGAGTCAGGATTGCAATCAAAATATAAGAAATTGTAAATGCTGAACTAAAACCCAGGTAATGGCAAGTCTGTATTGCTAGGCAACACACATCAATGATTGGACTTCCTGCATCTTTAATAACAGGTAAATGCAGCCATGATGGGAATAGTCAGCCTACCCTCACACTGCTGAAGGAGAGGATTTAACCTTTTCCACTCGTGACATTTTCCTGTTCTATCAGCCTTTTCTCTGGGGCTGCCATCTTTCCTGACACACAAAAACAATACAGATCTGGAATTTTTTTATGCTGATTTGGTTTAGGGAAAAGACAAAGAGAGCAACATCATTAAACTTGTACTTCCGTAGTGCTGCGGCTATACTCTGACCAGACAATTGTACACAAATCTACACAGAAGTAATTCCACTGAGTTCAATGGAGCTTGCTCCTAACTAAGAGTGTAGCTGTCTACAGCTTTAATAACTCTCTCTGTGTGGCTTCATTTACCCCTTAAAACTAACAACAGAAGAGTTTGCCGTGTTTCATCAACTTTATAGATTGTTACCATTTTAACTAATTTCTGGTTGCATGTTCTTTTCAATGGGCATCTCCCATGAGAAACATTGCTACCTGTTTGCAGTGTTCACGGTACCTGTGTGTCTGGTTAGGGGAGAAACAAGTCTCAGGTAGGCAAAAGAAGAGATATGCAATTGTAGACGAGGCCTTGTCCTTGTAGCCAATGTGGTCCAGTCCTTTTCCCCTTTCTTCCTGCCTTCTCCTCATCCTAGCTTTCACAGCACATGTGGCCTTCCAGTGTTGTTTCTCTTCCACAAGAGATGACTTCTACTGACTTTTGTCCATCTTGGCTGGGGCTGCAGGGATTTAGAGACAATGTGGAGTCCAGCAACATCTGGAAGAGCCCATACTAGCCAAGGAAACACATCTCAAACCCAATTTTCATCCGACACTGGACATAGATTATAGCCCAAACCAGTCCTCTGATCCATGAACTGAACCAGAAGTATAGGTGGGCTGCAGAAAAATCATGTCCATGGATAA